ACTCTCCATCTCTTAAATCAATTAATCCTCCATGTTTTGAGAAATATAAACCCTATTCAACTCTTCCATCAACATTAGAAATCAAGAAAGAATGAAATCAGACAGTCTATTATAAATGAAATGAAGGTTCCAGGAAACATTGCCGCCCCTCACGTTCAATAATTCAGCCACTGTAGCATTATGAATTTCCATTCTCTCAAAAACTTCGGGGTAGTAAAGTTTTAAAGGCCCTTCACCTAACTACTTATGATGGCAAAACAAAATCTGGGTACCATTACCCACACACCACGGGGTGCTAGAGGCTAGCAGTCGTTTGCATAAGAAAATGGATTTCCAAAAGATAGATCTACTAGAACTATCTTTTCCACCTCCAATCCAAAGACCATGTCTATCCACACCGTATTTGGTGATAAATACATGGCACCACAATTGATCTCTATCAAGGTTTCTACGCCACCACGACTTACACAAAAGTGCTTCATTGACATACCTTATCTTTCTCAAACCCAGTACACTTTCTCTCCTAAGTGTACATGCCCTATCTCATCGAAGCAAATGAAACTTCCTAGCTTCTTTACTTGAGCCCCATAGAAAGTTACGTATCATACACTCAATTTTTGTAATAACTGAAGTAGGCATCTGAATAAGGGACATCTGATAAACATGGAGGTTTGCCAGACAAGACCCCAGAAGGGTGATTTTACCTCCCAATGAAAGAAATTTGGGCTTCCAAAGATCCAATTTGCATTGAATTCTTTGAATGACTTTATCCCAAACTGATACAGATAGATTGATATCAGAAATAAGAAGACCCAAATAAGTAAGTGGAAAAGTATCAACCTTGCATTCCAAATAATCTGCTAAATCCTTCACAATTAATCCCAAACATAGAGGTATTCTTAAAACTAACCTTTAATCCCAGTGCCACCTCACAACAAGACATAAATCTCCCCAAATTATTCACCTTGGTCTGATCAGCCTCACAAAAAAAAAGTGTGTCATTTGTACACTGCAGATGAGACACAACTAGCCCGTCCCTTCTAATCTTAAATCCCAAAAAATTACCTTTGATTTCTACATTTATGAGAGTAAGGTTAAAATATTCAGCATAGATAGTAAAGAGAAACGGGGATAAAGGATCTCCATCACTTGAAGCTTTGAAAAACTCCTCGGGCTACCATTGATTAGAATAGAGAAATGAGTGGAAGAAATACAACCAAAAATCCAGTTCTTCCATTTCTCCCCAAATCCCATTCTATTCAAAATTTCTAGCAATATAGGCCATTCTACTCTATCATATGCTTTTTCCACGTCCAACTTGATTACAGCTCCCATTTCTTATGAAGAAATTCTAGAGTGAATACACTCATGTGCTATTAAAACACTATCAGTAATCAAACAACCCGGAATAAAGGCAAATTGAGGATCAGAAATAATCAAGGATAACACCAATTTCAGTCATTCTGCAAGGATCTTTGCAATTATCTTGTAGATGCTAGTAAACATACTAATGGGCCTGCTGTCAGAAAATTGTTTCATGTGAAATGTAAAATATCGTGCCAAATGACATTGTGCAACATTGATGGTATTGGTTTGAAATATTGTACTTAAAATGTTTGAATGGATCTAGATATGTTTTGGGCCATATGGAAAAGTAAAAAAATAGGGAAAATGACTTCTACGCCTCTCCTCAAAATTTTCATCCCTATTAGCCGTTTGGTATTGTTAAAATCCCTTGCCCCCCCCCCTCAAGTTTAAAACTTTGGAACCATTAGCCCCCTAATTATGTTTTTATTTGTTCTTTCATAAATTTGATCACAAAATGCCAAACCCATAAATTAGTCATCCGTTTTTTTTTTTTTTTTTTTTGCGTACTTTATATACAAATTTTATTGATGATGATGATGATGATGATGATGAAAATGATGATGATGATGATGATGATGATAATGATAATAATAATAACAACTATAATTAATAATAATTATAATAATAACAACAACAATATATTGATTGTTAAATAATTAATCTCTTATAGATATTTTGAGAATTTTTTTAATTAAATGAATAAATCAATAATAATAATCTAGTAACAATAGTAATAAAGGTCTTGATTAATCATTTTCCAAGTTCAAAATGATATTGATGCAATTCTAAATTTTTTTCATAATATTAAAAAAATCATTTTTTTCATGTCTAAATTTAGAGAGTGGAGTCTACGGAGGTAAGAATGGTTTTAGGAAATGGAACTTTTAGGGCCTACAATCCTTTCTTTCCCCTCAAGATTCATAAATGTTACAATCCATCTTTTGTTTTCTAGATTCACAATTTTTAAGGACAATATGATTAATTTTTTTCTATTTCTGAAGTTTGAAACTAAAATTTTGATTAGAATTGAGGTTTACTTTTCTCATAAGGCCACAATCAAAGCCAACAACGTACTAACTATTTTGTCTCGAGTGAATTAGGAAATACAGAGGTGTTAAATGGTATTTCCAAGGCTTTAAAAGTCAGCAAACTGGACTGGTAATTGTTGGTTTGGATAAGGAATTGTTTGGGATGGTCCAGTTCTGCCTAAATATCCCCTTGGGATCATGCTAGTTCTCTAAGGGGCTGTTTGATAATTGGAAGCAAGTTTATGAACTGTAAATTGGAAGTTTTTCTTTGATGGGAAGAAAGAAGTTACTGTAAAAAGTTCTGGGTTTCTACGTTTGATAATCTCTTGGAATGTTAAAGAAGTTATGAGTTTCTGTGTTTGATAACCTCCTGGAATGTTAAAGAATGAAAGAAAAATATAGGAGAGAGAGAATGGGAAATAAAATTTTCATCCATTCCATTTTGAAGATATGAAGACCATCAATTCCATTTTGAAGAAAATTTTCATCCATTCCACTATGGATCAAGGAAATAAATCAGATTATACAAGAACATTTTCAGCCTTGTTATGTACATAACATCACAAAAAACAACTAAATAAACAGAGGAAATCCAAAACACAATAGGGAAAAAAATATTTATTGAGGGACAGTAACGAGAGATAAAAGTTCCATATTGTAAATTGAAATTTCATGGCTCCCAATTCAAGGCACAAAATCAAGAACTATTGTAGTTCTCTAGAATCAATAAACTCGAATCACCAATGTATGAATCAAGGTTGCTGATTTTAAACATGCATTTGGGGCATCAAATATCATGAATCAATGAAATAAATCAGATTTTCTTGGCTCCCATTTCAAGCCATGAAATAAAGAACTATTGTAGCTCTCTAGAATCAGTAAACTAGAATCACCAATACATAAATATATGAATCAAGGTTACAGCTTTTTTACATGCATTTGGGGCATTAAATATCATAAATGAATGAAATAAATCAAAGTATCTTGTTCGCTTCTGTATGAAAAGAAATGAAACAAGAAATCAAAAGACAAAATAAAATCTAGGAGATTTACAACAAAGAAATATTGGGAAAGCCCCAAATTTTTTTACAGCAGATCTACAATAGAGAAAAATAAAGAAGGCCCTAAATCTTTTTTTCAAGGATTCCTAAAAAAAAAAACTCTGAAAGGATATGAAAACCTAAATTACTAAAAAGATATGGAAAAAATTGTAAAATCTGCATACAACTCATCGATGATGATTGAGAGGTTGCTGCTCTTCCAAATCGACAGAAGTTTGTTTAAGCTTAAAGTGAGGGAAGTTATACAGTAACATGTAAGTTAACATTTTAAACTTACTAACCTTTATCAAACACATAACAACTACAATAATAGGTAACTTCCAAATTTTGGGAAGCAAGTTCTTGTTATCAAACACGTCCTAATAAAACTGGTTCTTTCAAAGAACCCGCCCTACTTTATCTTTTTTTTTTTTTTTTTTCCTAATTTTTTTGTTCTTTAATTTTTTTTTTGATTTTTATTTGTTGGCCCACTAAGCTAGATCGTTGATCCGCAGGTCTAGAACCATTTTTTTTGGAGGGAAGACCCAGGTCACCCCAATTGTGCCTTTAAACCTGGGGTATATCGTACATCACCGGAAGATCACCATCATTTATAGTGATAAGACAGTGGAGAAGGCTAATCCCCACTGTCCATCATTGAAACGGACGTAGATGACCTGGTGCATCTGCACTATGATACTTTATCACTCTGAGCCTTTCCCCTCGTAGAGCCATTGTTCGTTTGGAGAGAGGGAGAGAGAGTTTTGAATATGGGCATGGTTTGTATAGTGCAGAAGTCCTAAACAATCAAAGTTAGGCGCATTTCAAATAGTATCGATAGAAATTTCAATACTGGAAATATTGGTGACTTATATTTAATTATAAAATTTAATTTTTTTAAAAATAAAAAGTTTATATAAAGTTGCAGCCTTAAAATGTAGAAATATAGTTGCATCTCAAAAATCCATAAGAAAAGGTTGTTTTAATGTTGAAAAACCCTCTACTTGATCATCTCAACATTGAGACGTATGAATATGAAAAAAAAAAAGAAAAAAGAAGAAGATTTTGAGTATTAGAAATAGTGTATCTTGCAACATATTATCTAGACCGTCCATTTTTTAGATTTTCATATATTTATAGATCTATTTGATTTTAATTATTTTTTGAGTTTTAAAATTTTATAATTAAGTATAAAGAAATATTTTCAGATAATCTTAATAATTTTTTACATCAAAATTACATATTACGATAAAATTTCGACGTGCGTCTTCATTGGATTGCAACATTATAGAATTAAGGTAGATCGAGTAGATCTATGAGCACCTGAAAGTTTTGAAAATTGACTATCCAAAAAGTCTATTATAAGGTATACTATTTTTAAAATTGAAAATATATATATTTTTATATTCATAATTCTCGAGGTAGAGATGATCTATTCAAGAATTTTTGAGCGTTTAAATAGCCTCTTTTAGCGAATTTTTGATGTGCGCCATAATTTGATTGTTTACAGCCTCATCTATATATAAACATTTTCCTTTGGACATTATCAAAAGGCGAAGCGAAAAGGGCGTTTGGCGCTCGGGCAGGCCTGTTTGCATTGAGCGGAAATGGGTGCCCTGCAAGGAGCAGCAGTAGGTTTTGGCATTGCCCCCCAAAATCCACCAAAGTTTACCACCACCACCACTCCTGTCTCTTCCATGGAAACTTCCCTCTTTCTCTCTCCTCTTCGACGCAAACTCACCACCCGTTCCTGTACCATCTCCGCCAAGTACGTGCGACCAGACTATCTTGTGGTATCTCCCTTTCCCCCCTCTCTGTTCATGTGTGTTCTCTTTCTTATTTGGGTTTAGCGCTCTCTGGTGTGTTTGTGTGTGGGAGTGAGAGAGAGATCATGGTGGGTGTTCATGTTGGTGGTCAACTTTGCAGAAAAAAGTATCAGCAAAAGAAGTGTATGAATTGGTGCAAAGCAAGAGGACTGTTCCTCTCGTCATAGATTTCTATGCCACATGGTGTGGTCCCTGCATTCTCATGGCTCAGGAGCTTGAGATGGTATGTGCATTCAAGTTTCTCCTTCCTGATTTTTCTTTCTTTGTTTTTTTTCCCATTTCATTTGTCCACAAATAATTATTATCCTATACGTCGATTAATAATCTTTTGATATGTCAGTGGATTGGTGTTGGCATGTTCTTCTTTATGTTTTATCTATGAGAATTTGGTTATCAGTTTGCTGGTTGTTGGATTGCTATCTTTCAATTGACAGCTATTTTATGACACTAGTAATCTATAGAAAATCGGACTCATGATGTTACAATTCATTTTAGTCGTGATTTCTTTTTATTCACCTATTTTACATATCGAATCGGATGCTTCAGGTTGATTGCATCATTACTAGATTTATGGTGGCCTTTTCAATAGTTAGAAATCACATGATTCATATTATCTTCTGGGGTTCAATTTTAGAGATGGCATTTTTTCAATAGTTATGTGGATTGCATTGTTGGAATATAAACTTGTTTCTTACTACTCTACTGAGAGGGCACGCTCAAGGTTTCAAAAACGCTAGGCGGCCTGCTTGGTGCCGAGCGTCCATCGTCCAGAAACTCGGGTGCCTCGGGCGCCTTGCGGTGCAAATTCTTAGTTTTTTTTTTATATTTGTTATCCAAATGCACATTTATGCATATATTTGTGTCAAAATTTGTAATTTATTCAAAAATTTGAACCATACAAAACATTTAAAAGTCTAATAGGCTGTAAGGTCTCCAACTCTCAAATTCTGAAATTCTCCATATTGGCATATTCTATATCCATAAAATTAACCATAATAACATCCAAGATTCCAAGTCTCCAACTCTCCAAGTCATCAACAAACTGACTTCCAAAACTATAGAAAAACCAGTAAACCACACAACAAAATAGTCCAAAAAGGCAAAAAAATTACAAACCACATAACTAAATAAAAATCGTTCAAAATCCAAATGTCTAAAGTCCAAACTAAGATGGTGCAATAAAGTATTAAAGTTACTTCAAAAGAAGAGAGAAGACAATCGAGACATCAATAAAAATCAAAATCATCATCTTCATTGCCATCATCTGCATCAGAATTGAGGCCGTCATCATCAGAATCATCACCCTCTTCAACATATTTCTCTTCTTCCAGAGATTCTTTTGAATCTGCCTCCTCTTCCTCTATCTCCCTTCGTGAAGTACCAGCATAAGAAGTTGCTCGAGTGGCCCTCCTAGGATCAGAAGCTTGCCGTGAAGCCTTCTCGACCATTTTCCATGTCAAACCCTCCCTAGGGAAGACCTCCTTAGTACCAGGGTCACTAACTAGCTAATCTGAAGCATTCTCCATGTTTTTCGAAGAGATAGGGTCCTTCTTTGGCTGGTTTTTCTTGTCCTTGAGCTTTTGATTCTCTGTAACAAAAACCAAGTCATTGAGCTTCTTTTGCTCCAGCCTATTTCTTCTCTTCGTATGCACCTATAAGGAAAAATAATGCATAAGTAACTACTATAGGTCTATGATCTTCTTACCTTTTATGAATCTATATTACAAAATGAATATGAACTTATAAAAAAAAAAAGCATATAAAATTTTATTCCTTTAAAATAGTAAAATAGTAAAATACTATCTCAAATGAACTCCAATTGCGCTCACAACCAGAAGAGATAGTTGTCAAACTCAAGATCCACATAGCCATCTTCTGGAGGTTTGGAGCGTTACTCCCATGTTGTCTCCACCATTGGGCTGCAATATGTGGGCAACCTTTATAATTAATTTAGGTATTTAACGTTATCAGAACTTGAAAGAAAATTATAAATTTATATTTTATAAAACAAAAGTACATAAGTCAAAAGAATATTACCTGGTTCGTCTTTGTTTCTCTACCTTAATGCTATATCTTTCCCAAATGACATCAAAGAACACTTGTACGAAATTAGCTCTTCAATTGATATCTTATCTTGGAATATTTGGATCAGGAACTAATTTCTCAAGGCACTTATTAAAACCATCTATAATTACCCCTTTTGATCTATATCTGCATCTGCATAAAAGAATTTGGGGTTCAAGTAGTACCCCGCTGCATGCAATGGTCTATGGAGCTGCCTATCGCATTTATCATCTATAATATCCCAAATTGGGGCATACTTTGCTACATCATCGCCCAAATTCTGTGCAATCTCATTCTTAGCCTTTTCCATTACATCATATATAAAGCCCATGGAGGGCTTATCAGCATCAACCAAGAGCAAGACTTTCACCAAGGGAAGCAATACTAATATCGCATGCTTCACCCCAAGCCAAAAATATTTCGAAAGAATAATATCTCGTGTCTTCTTTCCCTTGGCACCTCTAGACCACTTACACCTACTCCACTCCTCTGAAGCAAACATAGACCTCAATACGATCTTCCTCTTATACATGCTCTGTCTTTTTTGTAAACTTGCGCATCATGTGACCCCAGGCCTCACTAGTTCTCTCTTTTTTGTTAACTTACGAGTATGTGACTGTATTTGAAGATTGTAACCTCCTTAGCTTTAAAAATAACTCCTTTAATAGGAGGCAATTCACCAATTACCTCAATCATAACATCTACGCAATGTGCAGCGCAAGGAGTCCAAAATATACTAGGCCTTTTTTGTCGAAGCAAATGACTTGCAGTTAGATTGAGAGCAGCATTATCTGTGACTACTTGAATTACATGTTCCTCCCCAACCTCCTCAATACCCTTATCAATGCAGCAACACCTCCAAACCCAAATCCTCATAATTCCGCCTCAATACCTATCTCCATAATACTCCCAGTTCCTTCTCAAGACTAAAATAACAGTTGCTGGAAACCCTTCTTGGCCTCGTTGAATCCTTTGATTGAATTCCATCAAGTGAATGGATGTCTTCAAATGGAGAAGGACACTCATAAAATCATGCCTTTCATCATGCTAATGGAATCCAACAACCCCAACATATTTCAAAATAATTTGCTGAAAGTCACTTGTTTTTAGCCAAAAAATAGCTGGAAATAATAAAAAAAGTTAAAATAAAATAATATATAAATAACGCAAGGTACATACCAAGTAACCAAACAACAAACAAAATAACATTACAAAATAACATTATCCATAGATAGTAATTTTAGATAAGATAGTCCATTCCAGAAAAATTTTGATTGTTTATCCAAACAGGCCCTTAGATGAAAACCTCACACAGTGTGTTTCTCCATAGCCCTCCCTGCTCTACTCAAATCACCAATGCTAACTAAGTTAATATCAGCCATCTTGTTTCTGTTAATTCCCAAACCACCAACTAAATGGATTATTTGATATGACTCGCGATGAAAAATCATCCATAAAGTGGATTTCCCATAAGTCTAAACAACCTTAATGAAAACCCCCTCCTAAATTTATTCATTGTATTTGTCTTACTAATGAAAATAATATTTAAGGGATAAGCTTGATTCCTTCTGAACCAAATCTTTAGCAAGGCTTCACTGAAATTTTCAAGCCAGGATCTGACTGTTTAAGTCCATATATTTCCTTTTTTAATCTGCACACCTTTCCAGTCTACCCATGAAGCTGAAAAGGAGAGAATGATTCTGTGTTATAGACTTCCTGTAGCGACCAAGATTTAGTTGTAGATAAGTAGAGAATGATTCTAACTGTGTTTAACTTCACTTCGGGGTCAAAAGTTTCTTTGTAATCTATACCATGGTTTGCCTAAAACCTTTTGCAACCAATCTCTCATTTTAACTTTCTATAATGCTACCTGCTTTGTATTTTACTATAAACACCCACTTGCATTGTATCAGTCTTTCCTTTAGGAAGTTTAGTGAGTTCCCAAGAATTTTATTTTCAATAGCTTGCATTTCCTCCCATACCGCAGCCTTCCTTTGAGGTTACGATAGAGCTTCTGCCACATAGGATGGAGTAGTAACAGTAGACAAGATAGCAAACAAAACGTGATAAGAAGGTGTCAGAATTATAAGAAACAAAGTTCCCTCTAGGATATCGGGTGCAGGAAAAGGCAATTGGTAAGTCAATGTTTGATAAAAGAGTTGAACTGGGAAGTTTTGAGGAAATAGTAGGATGAGAGGATTTTCTGAGTTAAGGGTAGTACCTGGTTCCAAGTTGACACTTGAGTAATGATCATTTTGGACTTCATGTTCTACCGAATTTTCTCTTCAAACATGAGTCTTCAACTCCTTCACGTTGGGTGCAACCGAGGCATTTCCATCTTCATTTTGGTTAATTTCAGAAATGAAGCTGTCAAAAAAGGTGGAGCTAATGGTTTTGGATTGCACTCTCCTTGACTATTCTTCTCCCCCTGAAGAGAGCATTTTCGTGCACCAGTGGAGAAATATGGAATGGATTTAAAGAAGGTAACATCCATCATGATTAATAGGATATAACATTTGAAACCTTTTTGATTTGTTGAATATCTTAAAATGACACAATTAATGGTTTTATGATTAAGTTTGTCTCTCTTAGGTTCCAGAACAAGGACAAAACACACTATGAAAAACTTTAGAGAGCGGGAAACCAAGGGGAATTAGGAATAAGTATTTGGATAGGAGAGTTGCCCTTAACGACTCTTGATGTCATACAATTTATCAAGAAGGCCACAGTAAGGGCAACTTAGGACCATAAGTATTTTGGAGCTCTCACTCCAAGCGAGAGAGATCGAGTAACTTTTGACGAGTTTTTCTTTTTTTCGTTGTGCGACTCCATTTTATTGTGGAGTGTAAGGACATGTTGTATGGAACTCTCTACCCTGGTCCCTCGGTCTTTGAGATGATTAGAAACATAGTCACCACCATTATCAGAATGAAGTATTCTAATTTTTGCATTATATTGTGTTCTGACCATTTTATGGTGAAGTTGAAAAAGATTTGCAACTTCATACCTGTGTTTGATTAGCTAAAGTGTGATCAATTTAATGCAGTCATCCACAAAAGTAACAAAGAAGCGAAAACCAAAAATAGAAACAACTGGAGAAGATCCCTACACATCAAAATGTATAGTAGAGAAATTAGTGTCGCTCTTTTTATTTACTGT